TTTTTTTTTTTTTTTTTTTTTTTTTTTTTTTTTGAGGCAGGGTCTTCCCGTCACCCAGGCTGTAGTGCAGTGGTGTGATCATAGTTCACTGTAATTTCAAACTCCTTGGCTTAAGGAATCCTCCTACCTCTGCCTCTGAAGTAGCTAGATTCCAGATATCTCAACATTCTCCATCTTTTCCTTCCTTTGTGAATATATCTCATAGTTATAATTCCAACATCTGAATCACCCCTGCCTGGGTCTCTTTCTATTGTCTATTTTGTTTCCCTCTTGGTTTTCAGCAAATTAAGTCCTTTCTAGCAAGGCTGGTAACTATTGAGTAGATGCTGAGTAATGGGTACTAAAAATGGTACATGTGGAGACTCGGAACGTTATCTTCTTTCAGACTTTTCTTCTGGCTAGAAGATTGCCTAAATCCTGAAAAAGTCTGGTTTTAGGCTTTCTTAGCCTGATTATTATTTATTCTTTCTGAGATGCAATCTCACTCTGTTGCCCAGGCTGGAGTGCAATGGCACCATCTTGGCTCACTGCAACCTCCACCTCCCAGGTTCAAACGATTCTCCTGCCTCAGCCTCCCAAGTAGCTGGGATTACAGGCGCTCACTACCATGCCCGACTAATTTTTCGTATTTTTGGTAGAGATGGGGTTTTGCCAAGTTGGCCAGGGTGGTCTTGAACTCCTGACCTCAAGTAATCCACCCACCTCCGCTTCCTGAAGCACTGAGATTACAGGCGTGAGCTACCACGCTCAGCCTCTTAGTCTGATTTCTTCTGTTATGGCCTTACTCTGACATTGAGGCACCCTGGCCATCTCAAGCAGGGTCAATCCACCATGGTGGGCCTTGAACCACCACCTGTCTGCCCCAAAACAGCATGGCTGCTGCAGTCTCCAGGCCACCAGTTCCTTAGCCTCACAGTTACTGCATTCTGACGAGTTTCTTGGGGGTCTTGCATAGACAGTGAGCAGCTTGAATTGGCAGATGCTTCTAAGGGAGGGTGCACATAGATTTGGGAGCTCAGTGCCCTCCTCTCCTATTTTGTCAAGTCCCAGCTGCCTGGCTGAACCTCTGTGAACTTGGCCCAGTGGAAGTCAGTCCCGCCTGATAGTCTCTTCCCCATGCTAAATGGCAAAACATCCTCAAGGAAAAGGCAAGGTTAAGCACGAAACACACCTGTAAGTGTTCTTTTAAGGGATCACACCCCACCCCCTCAAGCCTCATCAAAGCTGGCCTCTCTCTGGCGCCTTTCCTAAGTTTTTGCCTATTGTCCAGCGTCTATATAACCAGTTTGTGCCATGTGAGTCCAAAATGGGCTTTTTGTAGCCAATACTAGAAGTCTATAGTTGCAGTATCTGGGGTATCTATGAAATATACTAATTAGAGGTAAGAAGTTCTTTTAATCCTAAGTCATTTCTTCCAGGGTCAGATTTTCTGTTTATCTTGTGGTCTGCTTTTCCTCAAATATCTGGGTATCCTTAGTTGGTTAAACTGAAACCATTAAAAAGCAGACTAAAATCCTGAGTGTCAGTCACAGACCCTCTGAGTTACCAGGCCAAGTTTGCCTTCAGGTTGAGATGCTTCTAAAAGACACAAGCAGGTCTGAACACAAGCTGGTTTGCCTAGGCACCCCCCAGCCCATCTCCCAGGCATCCTGAGTGCCAACAAGCAGGCCAACTGTTCTATACCAAGCTCTGCCTTTGGCCTCCCACCCTCGCTCTCCTGGAGCTGCAGCCTTGACCCTCTAGGGTTCTGCAAGGCTGACTGGCTTCCTTCTCTGCACTCACCAGACTGAAGTGTTCTCACCAGCGATGGCTTTAATCTTTTGTTCAGGAATTTGCTTGAAATCTCAATTGCTGGACCTCTTCTGTGTTTCTGCTCATTACACCTGTCACTACTAAGTATGATGTGAGTTCATCCTTCCTGCTCTGCCCCATCTCACCCATGCCCAGTGCGTTCATTCTGCCTTTCCTCACCATGTATGCCGCTCTCCCTTGCAGATTGTAGCTTCCCTTGCATATTCAAAACTGCGGCTTCACCTGAGTAATCAACTCTCCTTCTAATTAATTCCCAGCCCCCGACCAAGACAGGGGTATGGTCAGCCCTGAGGAATGTATGCCAGAGATGAAAAAGAAAAAAGAGAGTGAAAAACCAAGGGAGACAAGGAGCCCTAGAGAGGCCTCCTCCCCGACGTTCAACAGCTCTGGCTACTGGGCAGAGCCAGCCTCACGTCCTAACCCTCAAGTTATAACTACTCCCTGGAAACCAAACCAAGCAGGGCTATCGAAAGTCAGGGACAACCTTCTGGTGAGGACAGCAGTGAGGAAGAAACCAAGGTGCCCACTATCAACAGGAAATTAATTTTATTTTTAAATCCAAGGGGCCAGAACAAATCAGACACCTACCCTTGGAGGACAAACTCAGGTGGCCAAGGTTGGGGGAGGGGATGACAGCAAGGGGGTGGGCAGGAACGCGTCCAAACACAGCTGGTGGAGAGAACCTCTTCACTCCGGCGCAGCCTCCATCAAATACCCATTCTCCGGAGCCAGGTAGCCATCGCCGCCCTCAGACTCCATGTACATGTCTCGGCTGTCGTTGCCCAGACCCTCCAGCCCGTTGTCCTGGCCGCCGCCCCCACCTCGGGCCTCATCCCTGCCCCGCTCACTGCCCCGCTCCCCCCGTTTGTGCTCGCGGTCACGGTCGCGGTCACGATCCCGGTCCCGGCGCCGCTCGCGCTCACTCCGGTGGCTCCGCCGTCGCTCCCGGTCACGATCCCGGCCCTTTTCCTCTGGACCGTCAGGGCCGTCAGGCCCGAGCTCCCCTGGAGGCCCATCATCAGGGGGCGCATCACCCGCCTCGGAGGGCTCCGCCATGTCGCCACCGCCCCCACGCAGCTCCTCCTTGCGCTCCCGCTCCCGCCGGGCACGCTCCCGGCTCCGGCTGCTTCGCCGCTTCCGGTCCCGGTCCTTGTCCTTGCTCCGCTCCCTGGAGCGCCTCCGCTCCTCCTTGTCGCGACTCCGTGAGCGCCTCCGCCGGTCCCGAGAGCGGGAGCGTCGCCGTTCTCGCTCCTTGTCTCGCTCCCGGCTCCGCTCTCTGCGCTCCCGCTCACGGTCCCGGTCCCGGTCCCTATGCGGAAGCGGGGAGGGGCCGGGCCTGGATGAGGTGGGCAGACCTGTGTGGCCGGGCTCCCCCCGTGACCGCCCCCGACCCCAGGACCCCAGTCGCCCAATCTTACCTCTCATCATAGCGGGAGGTGTCATCGCGGCCTGAATGCCGGATGTTCACATCAGCCCCTCCTCTTCTGGTACCACCGAGGCCGCCTCCTGGGCAGGGCAGACAGACAAGAGGGTCAGTATGGGCAGGGGCAGGGCCCGGAGGAGCAGAAATCAGCCAGCTCCAAGAGCAAAAAGGCAGCCCCTGGCTTAGTGTTCACAGGGCCGGGTCCCCCTCTGCAGTTCATCCCGTGCACTCCCATCACAAGACAGCCACATCTTCCTTAAGTAACTCACACAAGGCATTCGCTAGGAAACAGCCGTTACTGGAACCCACATTTGACCCCAAAGCGCATCATATTAACCACAGCGCACTTCACAGCCTCCTCAAATCCCTCCCTTCCAATCATCCTCATCCTCACACAAGCCCGAAGCTAAAGCTCTTTCCACCCAAAAATGTGATCGGCTTAGAAGCCTCTGGTGGCGTCCCCCAGCCTGAGGTCCAAACTCCTCGTCAACTGGTGGTAGAAGCAGCGAGTGGGCCCCGCTAGTGTGTGAGCCGCAGCCCCTGGCTGCGCGTCCCAGGCCTTTCCCAGAGTCTGCGCATTCTCCTTGCCCTGGACTGGTCTCCCCTTCCTTCTCTGGCGAACTCCCACTCACCCTTAAGGCTAGCCCGAACATCCCTTCCTCCAGAAGCCTCTCCTCACAGTCCTATGTACTCACAGTTGCAGAAATGCTTCCTTTCCCCGGAGTTTCAGGTTTGCTACCTGTCTGAGTCGACCCCTACCTGCCTCTCCCACCAGACTGCAAGGCACCGGGACCGTGGGCGCACTCGGCTCTTGCTCACGGTACCAGCAGGTGGCGCTGCAGCTGGTATAGAAAGGTGGATGTGTGTGTGTGTCAAGTGAATAGATGAACAGCCCCAAGGAACCTCATGGTTATGATGGGGAAACAATCTCAGATCAAGTCACTGGCCCACAGTGACTCAGCAAGGAAGGTGCAGAACTGGGCTGTCACTGCCGTCTGCTGCAGAACCTGCCTTCTCAAGCGCTCCTCTATCCCACACTGCCTGGAAAAGCTTCCATGAGGCAGGGCTGAGTTCTGTATAGAAAAGAGGCTGCAGGGAGACATTCTTACAGGAAGCCGGCAGCAGACCAGGCACCTGCCATGTCACAGGCACAAAGCAGCTAGACTAGCCTTTACTATTTTCAAGTCATGACCCAGCAATGAGTCACATCATCAATCTGATGGGTTGCAACCAACATCTTAAAAAACAAAACAGCAGAATATAAAATACAACTATATACTTACTACATAGAAAAAACTGTTTCCTCAAACTTTAGGTTATAGTATTTCTGCGGGTGCACCGAGTCAAGCTGTTACTGGCTAACACCAACAAAAAGTTTGAATGGCAATTGAACTAGAAGATTCTGAGATTCTGGAAAGGCTGAGATTCCAGAATTCTCCTGCCCCAACAGGAAACAGCAGAGCTGTAAGAACCCACTCCACCCCGGAGAGACCAGAGTCGAGTAAGAACATGCCTGGTAAACTCAGAGGCTCAGCAGCTTACAGTGTGGTCTCCCTAGCACAGGTGAATCCAGAGCGAGGACACAGGGCTGGGAGGCAGGAGAGGAGTCCCAAGTGGCTACTACTGCCTGGGGGTCTGCCCAGGGATCATCATCTTCTCTGACAACTGTCACTCAGCTTTGCAGGATTCAGTCGTCAATAAGCATGCCTGAGTAGCAGGACCCCACGCCCAACATTAAGTCAATCAGATGTGCCCACCTCGAAACAAGAGACCCGTCCAGGACTGAGTGTAAAGCCGGGGCCTGTGGCATGCTGCGCTGGGCCAGTGCAAAGAGGCATGGGACAGACCCAGCTGCATGGAGGCTAAGGAGGCAGAAGCAAGCTGTGGGCCGTCACACATCACAGGTGAGTGGTCCCAGTTTTTTTTTTTTCTCTGAGACAGAGTCTTGCTCTGTCACCCAGGTTGGATGGAATGCAGTGACTCGATCTCGGCTCACTGCAACCTCCGCCTCCTGGGTAGATGAGATTACAGGTGCCCGCCACCACGGCCACTTAATTTTTGTATTTTTAGTAGAGACGGGGTTTCAACATCTTGGCCAGGTTGGTCTCGAACTCCTGACCTCGTGATCCACCCGCCTGGGCCTCCCAAAGTGCTGGGATTACAGGTGTGAACCACCGTGCCTGGCCTGGCTGCCCCAGCTCTTAACAGCTTCAGCTACCAGGTCCTCTTAGATCCATGAGCATCACATACCTCTGAACTCCAAAGGATGCCCATAATTCTGTATCAACAGAATTACGTTTCTTTTTTTATGTTTTTATGTTTCAGGAAGCTCAAGTTTATTTCTGATACCTGCAGCCAAACTGACCTTGCCTGAGACAGCACACGACAATGAGGAGACTGAATGCAGGAGGCTCAGAGGGCAGAGGCTGCCTCTGTGTTGCTCTTGACTAGAAGCCTGGCACAGGGCTGGTGATCAAATAGGCACTTGCTGAATCAGTAAAAGAGCGAACAAGAGCAAGAACAAGCAGCAGAAGCAGATGAGCAAGTGACATTTACAACCCCAGCATGCGTCACTGCCAAGCTGGGCACCCAGTACACTGAGCTCAGCAAACTCAGGTTATTTCCACTAAGAGGAGGACAATGAGGCAGGTAGAGGGGGCCCCCAGCAAGCAAGTGGGGACGCCAGCATG